TAGTTCATTACCTTGATGGTGTATTTTATACCAGGTTGCTTGTGAAGCATGGATCAAGAAAGGTGATCCAAAGGAAGTTATCTGTCATGAAGTTAGGCGTGTTCAACCAGACTTTCTCGTTGTTGGAAGTAGAGGACTTGGTCCATTCCAGAGGCATGTCTGTTTTTTAATTATTGTATTCATTTCTCAGAATCCTTACCCTGTGATGCATATAATGGATTTGATGGAACTCACATATGAATCATGTTTGAGTTCTATGAGCCCTTCACTTGGCATATTAGTTGCTGATCAAAAGCCTTTTTCGTTTTGCAGAGTTTTCGTAGGAACAGTCAGTGAATTTTGTGTGAAGCATGCCGAATGTCCTGTCATCACCATCAAACGCAGTGCAGCCGAATCTCCTCAAGATCCTGTAGATGACTAGAGCATTCTTGATGTATACGTTAGGTTTCCAGCTCTGTCTGTATAGTAATTGACTGGATTTCGGTGTGTGTGGATGAGATTAAGTGATATTTGTTTCCCCCACCCTTGGTTCCTCTGCTTCTTAGTTTTCTAATTGTTACTCTCTCTAAGATCCAAGGGGATTTGAAGTTTACACAGACAGCTGGATTCTCTTTGAAAGAGATTCTTTTGGATAATTTCCTCCAGTTTACTATTGAGGCTGGGAGTAGTAAGCCGTGGTAAAATCTATGTTGCGCTCTCTTTGAAATGGATTCTTTTGGCAATCTAGGAATGCTTAAGCATTCTTCTTTGACAGAATATTGCCTCAAAAAGTGTTTGCATGTACAGCATTGCAGGGCGGATGTCCACACGCAGATTTGATTATTTGTAGAACTGTTTGCTATCTGTTGAATTCGTGGTTCCAATGCTGTGTCATTGCAAGGCTCTTAGGTTCTAATCAGAGTGTAAACTTCAAGCGAAATACAGCATTTCTACACATTTGCATTCTGTGCATAACGCCGAACAAAGAACTTGTGCATTTCAAATCGTTCAGAAGTTGATGGTTATCTTTGGAAATCGACAGCTAAAAAGAAAAAGTAACAAAAGGATGACCATTAACACGCATTGGAAGGCAACTAATGCTTTATCTATTTACGCCTCGCAACTCGAGAGCGAAGCCGAACATGGCCGCTGCATGCTTGGTCATACTACCGTAATAAATTTTACGAGGACGACGATATCTGTCTCTCATTATTCGTTGTTTGTTCTTCGAGCAAAAGTAATCTACAAGGGCGAGATGCACTATAGCAGAAACCTAATACGCAAACAACATTCTTAAGATAACAACTTACAAGCAAGTTGCAAGATCAGGAGGTTTCAAACCATGTAGAAATTGCAATCTCAAAATTGAAAACAAACCCCGAGCAGAATATCAGTAACCCAAATCATCCAATGGAACTTCACAACAAATACAGCTATGCACAAGGGCGCAGAGTATCACTGACAAGTTTCATTGTTCTATATATTCAGACATGAGAAAGAAGGGAACCTTCCCAGAGGTGCGGGACTGCTGCTTGGGAATACACCGACTACGTACAAACATTCTAAGACATTAATTAATTGACCCTCCAACTGGTTTCATAACTATATCATACATCCTACATACAATAATCTTGACCCGCTTTATCAATTCCTGAAAAAGACAAACTCGAACTACTGCCAAATACCAATATCCTCAACAAAAGAGTCAGATATAGAAGTCCTATGAGTAAAGGGAAAGCCACTAACAGTATAAAAAAACTAAGTACATCACCGACCCCACATCTATTGTGAAACATCCTCAGCCATCTTCCTCACCTTCTCCAACAGTGGCTTTATCTCGGCATCCAAATGGTATACCTCCTCAGTTGAAATTTTACCATCACATTTTTCCAGCATGGATGTCATAATCTCGAGTTTCTGTCTGATGGAAACAAGCTGAGATTTCTCACCAGCGGCTGGCCACGAAGCAACTGGGTTATCAGAGGAAGTATTATGACTGGACTCCACAGCCATTGAAGAAGCTGAGGAATGCCGAACCTTGTAATTAACACTACGGGAGCCGAAAGGACTCTGCTTTAATGATTCTCGCAAGGCTTCTTCTGCACCTCCAGGACTGGAGTATGCAATCTGAACGCTAGCAGATTCGGGGAACACAACTGTTTCCTTTTCATTTAAAACCCCAAATTTGCTAAATATTCTGATGACATCATCCTTTGCTGGCAAGGAAAATCCAGGGGCAAATGTCACAACTAGAGATTCAGGAGGAGATTTTCCATCGACTTGCCTATCCTTAGGTCTGGCATTCTTTTTAAGTTTAGATTTATCAGACTTATCTCGGGCACTCCTTTTGTCAATGGTTCGTGGATATTTAGCCTCAGCTGACTTGACATCAAGGTTACCCAGATCTCCTTGTTCGGAGCTCACCGATTTCCTCTTCCTACCAGGCAGCCTTTTAGGAGTGTAATTTGATTGATTAGAACGGACAGAGCTTCTGAATGCAGAGATGAATCCCCTGATAAAATCAGGGAATTCTCCATCCGAAGAGTGCAAATGATTAACAGCTCCAGATTTAATTCCTGCTAGCACCTCCTTCACTGGTGCATTGACATCTGCAGAGTCAATAATCTTCTGCTGACCTTGCTTACCATTTAAAGGCAATTTTTCCTCCACAGTCTGAGCATTGCACTTAACTAGAGGGGGTGGCTCGAGAAGGATTCCAGCAGCCTTAGTCATGCGCTCACCCATCCTAGCAATCTTACTAATTTTCTCTGATTCTTTTTGCAACTCATTCTTGAAAATTGGATTCCCGGACCTGAACCGCGAATTTGTGTATGGAGGGGATAGGTACTTGCTCTTTTTTCTTTCCCTAGGAGATGAAATCTCTTCGGTCCCTTTTGCGCCTTCACCATCATTATCATCAGCAAAAGCAATTTCATCCTCGTTCAGCTTACTTGAGAGAGAATTTTTATGAATTTCCTCCTGAGGTTGAACATGACCATTCTCCGCACTAGAGATCTTCTTTCTACTTCTCTTCCTCACCGTTCCAGAAGATTGAACGCTGCCATTCTGATTTCCATCTTCATCATCCTTTCTCTTTTGTTTTGCAGAGCTGCTAGCATTTGTTCCCTGTGTGACAATACTTCTTTTCCTACTCTGGGACTTCTTATCTGTACCCTCAGCCATGATTTCAGCAACACTCTTCTGCTTCCTCCCATGATGATTCTGATCATCAGAAGGTGCTGGGCCATTTCCAGGGCCCACCAATGCTAAAGACCAGTCTTTTTCATGTGGCCCCTGGACAGGAACCTCAATGGGAACAATGGAATCATTTTTGTCCTCAACCGCAGTCCTATTGTTGCCTTCAAGGCCTTCAATTTGCAGGCCTTCATAATAAACAGGCAACCAATAACCACCTCTGGCACGATAAAAGGCAGACAGCCAACTCTTCAAGATTGCAAGTTCAAGAACACCAGCAAAAGAAACTGACTCAGCAATACTTTGAACGGTTGCGAGCAATTCAGCCGAGTCATACCTAAAGGACAAAAGTTTACCAATACCTCCTTCGGGCACTAAGACTCCCGCCTTAATCCCTGCATTTGCAGCCAGCGGGCTATGAAGCCCCTTCCTGTTCTCTTCGGGCACACATTTACAAATCATTTCTAATTCCACAAGTCTACCAATTTCGTCAACAGCCTCTTGAACAGCAGTCACAAAACTCTTAGAATTGCTTTGTTTACACATATCTTCAAAATGCTCAGCAAATGGTATCAACTGCGATGGCTGACACCAAGCAAAAGAACCATCACCAAAGTATGCGACGAGCAGGCGACCTGTGTGACTAAACTTAAGTGCATAATCTGAAGCATGTTTAGGATCATATATTTGCCCAGGCCACCATGGATGGCTCTTGATTTTCCCCCAAACAAGGTCACCTACGGAATAGCCATGCCCGTCTATAGAATCAGCATCATCACCAGCACCTGTCTCTCCATCCATTTTCACGATAGCATTCCCTCCATTATCAGCATTTAAATCCTCAATAATACCACTTTTGGCAAGGACGGATGCAGATCCATTCGCGGGCCCAATTTTCCCATCCGAGCTGCCAAGACCAAGAGCAACCCCGTGCCCCAACTTCTCAGTACCTTCCAAACCGGTGCCCAGCGTCATCCTCGTCTCCACCAGGGAAATCTCAGTTCGTTTAGTCACCGCCACAACACTGTCCTCCATCTCCTCCTCCTCCTCCTCCGCCTCTTCACTCACTTTATTTACATCGAACCCGCCAGGGATGCCGCGGGACAGCGCCCGATTTTTATCGGGGCCTGCGAGACCCGAACCGACAGCAGCAGACAGGGCCGGCTCGCTTACAGCGTCGGCTAGGGTTCTGAGTCTGGAAGTTTCTTCGGGTGTTGCCATGTTCGGAACTGCAGTTTCAATTATTATCTCCAGAGATTAAAACAAGTAACTAATTACAACTAGTACTAATATCTAAGGGCATCTGGAATTTAAAAACAGAACAAAAAAATTCGTATTAGGGTTTTGGCTCTAAAACTCACAGGCAAGGGTAAGGCCTTGAAAACCCCCCGTGAAATAAAATACTAGTAGTATATTACAACCAACGAACGCTCATTCTACATGCTACTAACACCCAAGAGTATAACACAATAAACAAAGAGTGGCAACCAACTTTTTTTTTTTTATTAAAAAAGAAAATAGCGGGGGACGATAAATTGGAGAATAAAAAATACCTGATTAGGGTTTGGGCTTCGCTTCTTGTAGCAGTAGTACTACTAAATTTCCCTTTACGAAATTCTCTGTATCAAAACGATACAAACCAAAGAGATTCTTCAGTTTTTGACATCTCACTCTACCACTTACTGTTCTCTGCTCAAAATTTTGTTCTTCTTTTGGTGTTTTTTTTTTTCTTATTCTTTTTAATTTCCCCCTCTTCTCTCTCCTCAAAACTTGGACAATATCTCCCCCCACCTCCAAAAAAAATAAAGAATAAAAAAAATAAAAAGAGAAGACCAGGGAAGGGAACAAAAGAGGAGGGTAGGGTGCAGCGGCAGCGGACCGGCAGCAGCGCGAGAGCACAGAAATAAGCAAACGTTCTGGTAAGCGTATTCTACTCGTAGTATTATTGATTATTCTACTGCTACTGCTAGTAAAGTAGGAGTAAGAATTGGCGTATGACAGGAGTAGGGAGCGGTGGACCGGGTACGGATTGCCAACTGCAGGACTACGTGCGACTTTCTTTTTTTTTTTTTTTTTTGAATTTGGAATTCGTGGAGGAGTCAAAGGGCTGATTGGAGGGGAGGTGGCGGGTTGATGGAATTTTTTCTAGGCAATAATAACAGCAGCACGCCCAGTACAAAAGGGGATATTAAAAGGATTGATTGCTTATTTGTGTGTTTTTTCTTTCTTTCTTTCTTTCTTTTTTGTTCTTCGGAAATAGACCGACCGAGAGAGTTCAGAAAGAAAAAAAAAAAGAGAGAGAGAGCTGGATGTCCTCCTCCTTGTTTGTTTCTGCGTTGTGTGGCTGCGATTAGCAAAGGGAGTAGTAAAGAAGCAAGTATGCAGCAGCAGTAAGTGATGGAGGAGGATGCTGGACATCTGTTGTTGTGCTTTTTGATGATTCTCTCCTGCGTCTTTCTCTTCTTAGGCTCGTGGGATCAGGATTCAGGATTGAGGAGGAATTGGATGCTTTGTGTCAATCGCGACCCTGCCTATAAAGCCTAATAGAACGGTCCAACATTATTGTACGCTAAAATTGAAAAGGGGGTGGGCCAATTGTTTTCTGTCCCCCTAGTGTAGTCCTAAGGAAGGTAATAAAATTTGGGGAAAATTGCAGAAACCTCCCCTGAAACTACTGACAGTTGCACTGAGCTCCCCTCTAAGTTCTGAAATGGCAGATAGCACCCCTCAACAGGAACATTAAGTTGCAAAATCAGTCCAGGCAGCTTCAATTCCCATTAAAAAATTAGCTGTACAAGTGAGATAAAAAATTTGTTCCAAATTTGCCCTGATGTTAGTTGACAAGTAGTATTAACAAGGGAGGGGCTTTTTCATTAAGCACAAGGAAGTTCAGGGGGTATAAATGCAACAACATGCTTCCAGATGATGACCTGCAACAACTTCATTTGCTGAGAAACCAACGGCTACTTAACGGCTAATTGATGTAACTAAGGCACTAGCTTATAAACGATGGTCAGTAGCAAAATGAATACCACAATCTGGACTCATGTATGCAGCAGCAATTTTCTAGCTCAAAACACAGCTTGCTTGATACTCAGTTTGGCAGTTTCAAGTCATATTGCAGAAATCAGAAAATGGCTTCTTCCAGCCACAGGAGAACATCATGGAACTCTCCTACATCCTTCACAATACAAAACAAATATTGCTGGTGCAATAGAAAGGCAACATTGAAGATTTCTGAGTCTGAAAACAATCCCAACAAATTATACTTTTTTTGTGCAAAATGCAAGTACTTCCAGTGGTATGAGGGTCCAGAAGAAGAAGAGGTTAACAGTAGAAACTATGACACCAATTCAGTGCTACAATCGCACCTACAGCAACAAAGGTCTATGGCTGTTAGAAGGGAAATGCCAACTGTTCTGACAAGTGCAGTGGCTATACTTTGTATCATCAATCTCATACTTGTTGCTGTTTATGTTTTCATCCATATTGTGAAGTCAATAGGCTGATGCTATCCAGAAATGTACATTAGTGATGAAGTAGATATAGCTGCAGTTCGAATTTATATGTAAGACATAGGAGAGGAACAAATTCCTTTCATCATGTATGCAGCAGCGTTTGTAGTTTACAATATAAATGCAAACCAGAATTCTGTTTATATCTACTGTCATCAATACAAAATCACTTGTTACCAACAATACAAAACAAAACAGTCACAGAAACATACTTGTATTACAAGATTAATGCATTAATACAACAAGTCTGATCAGAATTCAGTAATTTGAAGTACTACAAAAGTGAAACACAACAGGCAAGTAATAGCAGAGCATGACTGAGCAATCCACAAAAGGTTCAAAACACCATCTGAACCATTAAATCACTTAGGACTGATGGTGAGGATTGCAATGTCGTGAGAGGCAGAAACATGTCCAAAACTGCCACAGTAGAGTACAAAATATCTCTGTTATGTACCTAATTAATGGCATACTACTGAGTTGATACTTTCAGCAGTAAGCATTCACTTGCCAAAACTATAGAGATAGTATCAGAATTGCATACTAAAACTGCTATTGTTGCTAACATTTGTTGAGTGCAATGTTGTAGCTGCATTGATGGATTCAGATGCAGGTGTAGCAACTTGAAATGTAGCAATTTGCTGATGACCAGCTTGTTCCACAATTTGAGTGATCTGAGCAGTATTTGAGTAGTTTCTCTTGCTGCTCCCTCTAGCAGATGCTCCAGTATTGCTTAAAGGTCTTCCTCTCTGCACAATCACACGTGTTGAACATTACACTCAAGCATTTTATTGAAGCATATCATAAAAGCTACTCATTCAACTGCACCTTTTTCTTTGAAGTGGTTGCTGTGCTCTGATTCTGCACATGCACATTCACAGTTGCAGGTGCAGGTTGAGTTGAAGGAGAAGGATTGCTGCCTTGGCTTGAGTGTACAACTGGAACATTGCCAGAGACATGATCCTAGCAGTAAACATTGACAAGTAATATTAGTTTCAACAAGGCATGTACTATAAATGTTACAATTAGAATCTTAAATAAGTTAACAAAATCTTACCCAAAGAGTTGCTCCTGACAGGCCCGTGTTTGCAGTCCCTCTTCCTGGTTTGCCTCTTCTATAGCTCTGTTGTTAAGGAACAAGCTAATTGTAAGTAATGAATTGATATAAAATAATCACATTCAGTAGCAATTGCAGCACATATAGCACCTGCTGGCCAGTAGTTCTGTTGCCATTCTTCTTATTCTGGACAGGTGCTCCTTGACATGACCTCTTGTTGTGACCAAAAGAGCCACAGTTTCCACACTTGATGTAGCAATGTCTTTTTGGTTGTGACGCAGACTGTCCTTCATCATGTTCCCTTCTCCTTTTAGTCTTTGGTCTACCTGGAGCTCTCCTTAATGGAGGAGGCAGGACTGTTACAGGTGTAACATATGGCATAGGTGGCCACATTTTCTCATCAGGAATTGGATGAATCATATTTGAATATGTCTTTAAGTACTTATCTCTTGAGAACCAATGCTCACAGTAGGATTCCAGCTTTTCTCTCTTGTAGATAATCCCTAGTGCAGCATGTTTACAAGGAAGGCCTGAAATTTGAAATGCTCCACAATCACAAGTTTTAGCTGATAAATTGACTATGTAGGACCTGTTCATATCCCCCACTTCAAAAACATCAATAGAAGCCATAGTGAGTTCACATTGTCTTGATGCTTGTCCTATTTTTTGTAGTTTACCAAGCATCTTTGGTGTGATGGCAGTTGTGAGCATGCACCCTTTCTGATATCGCTTATGCATTTTCTTCATGAACTTCTTCCTCAGCCCATCAACAAGTGTCAAGATAGGCTTCCCTCTGAGCTCACCTATCCATGCATTGAAGGACTCAGTGCAGTTATTTGTGACATGATCACATTTTAGTCCAGTATTGAAGGTATATCTGCACCATGTTGTTTTAGGAATTTTGTCCAAGTATTTCCATGCTTCTATGTTTAACTCCTTTATGCTAGCCATGGCTTCATTATGTCCTGCAACATCAAAGCTTTTTGCTGCTCTCCAGAACAAGTTACTAAGCAGAATACCAGGAAATTGAGCTTTAAAATTACTGCAGATATGCCTACAGCAATGTCTTCCACTAGCAACAGGCACTTTCTCTTCATAAGCTATATTCAAGCCCTGAAATGATCACCAAAACATGCAAACAAGTTACACTAAAAAATACAGAATCATTGACAAGTACATAAGCATTCCAGAATCTGCAGCCTTCAAAACAGAATCAGAATAATGTTCAAGGCCTGTTGTGAAGCTCACCTTTTGCCTGTCACTCATGAAGGTTAGAGGACCATGAAAACCACTTTCTGAAGTAAATGGCCCAAAAAACTCCTCAAAGTAATGAAAAAACCAACTCCAGGTTTCTTTATTTTTAGCTTCAGCCACAGCAAATGCAATAGGAAAAATGCTATTGTTAGCATCTAATGTGACTGCTGTGAGAAGCACACCACCATAAGCACCTTTTAAAAAACATCCATCAAAACCAACAAAAGGTCTACAGCCTTCAACAAATCCACTTATTTGAGCTTTGAAACTAATAAACATTCTGAGAAATCTAGGCTCAACAAGAAGAGTAGGCCTATCATAATGTATTTTGCAGATACTTTGTGGGTTGTATTTCCTGATCAGCTCTGCATACTTTGGCAATTTGGCATACGATTCAATGTGATTGCCTTCAATCTCATTTCTTGCTTTAGTTAGTGCTCTATACATCTGCCATTTGCTTGGATGCACACCATACTTAATCATCTCAGCTTCTACCCCTTTGGTAGACATGTTGGGGTGAATTCTCATGACTGGAACTAGTTTCTTAGCAATCCAGTCAGCTGTAGCTTCTGTGTTCTTCCTGTCCATCACACATGTGTGTTCACCTTGATAAGTCTTAATCATAAAGGTCATGGAATCTAAAACTGGTGATGCATGGATTCTCCATTTGCATCCTTCAACACCACAAACAGCAGTGACTCTGCTCTTCTCATTCTTCAGTCTCATAATTGGAAATCCTTTCTGAATTACATAGTCCTTTAAAGCTGCTCTAAATGCATCGACATTAGTAAATAGTTCACCTTTCTTAAACTCTATCTCTACTTTTGGGTTGTACGTCCACAGTTTTGATTTCAAAGCTTCCTGAACAGGGTCAGTTTCTTCTTCATTTTCAGAATAAGGAACTAAGGCACCATCCTCAGTGTCATCAAAATCAGAAAATGACATGTCAGATTCACCACTATCGCTATGAACATCTAAATCTTTCTCATTGTCACTATCCATGCTGTGAAGCCAGCTTGAATCAGAGCTGGAATCACTATATTCACCCTCAGAATCATCAATGGCAACAACACATACCTTGTCCTTTCCTTTTTCTCTTAAGTTCAAATCAGTGTTATGACCATTTTCATTTATCTGATTAGCTTTATAAGATGGAATAACATCCATATCCTGCACATGCACATTAATCATTCTTCCACACTTATGCATTTCGAACATTTCATGTACACTATCATCATCTGAAATATCAAACATACGATCTGTCTTAGGAATCTGACACCTCATATGTATTAACTTATTCAGATGCCCAGGGACTTCACCGAACACCTTCTCAGCAACATCAAATAGTAGATTAAGGTAACAGTAACCAATTGGATCGATATTTGGAATTTTCACTTGTTTCTCCTCATAGTGAACAGCTATATCATAAGCAGAAAAAAGAGCCATCCTAGGTTTCAAAAGTGACAGA